GGGAAACTGGAAATAGTTATTAATGATATTACAGAAATGTTTTCTGAAACCTGTCCCCTTCTTTCTGCCTTTTGCTGATAGATCTTCTCCTTCTGCCTTTGAATTTACAGCCTCCTTGCAGCTCCCAACTGGCAAAACCTGGGGTGACTCAGGGGGGACAGAGGTGACATTTTTATCTGAAAACTTGGGGTAATTTCTAGGGGATACAGCAACTGTTTTGGTAGGAAAGTGTGTTTAACCCCATTGGCCCAAGTTGTGTTTGTACCAGCTAGGGCCAGAGGTGCAAGGCAATCCAAAGCAAGCCCTGCTTGGCCTCTAAATCCCAGGGTAAGTTCTCCAAGCTGCTCCTTGAGGACTAAAGATACATTAAAATGGAACCAAGAGCACTAAAAAGATTCCTGTGAATCCCAGTATTGCTGTCCTAGAATTTTGAACAGGTTTTGAAGCTGTTGATGGCAATAATGGCTTTGTTCCTTTGGATGAGTCCCTCGGTAGGATTTGGGGTTTCTTTGGGTTTTGACTCCCTCCCAGTGGCCCTGACACCGATCAGGAGCTGGCAGGACAAAAAGACTGAGAACCTTTGGTCCCCCCTAATTCCTGTGCCTCCCCGTCCCCTTCTCCCACATTCCTGGGACTTTAGGTTTGTCTTAGGTTGGACTTGGCTCCCAGCCAAGTGCCCGGACCACAGGGAAAAAACTTTCCTCCCTCCCTCTCTCCCTCCTTGGACAAACCGAAAAGACTACACAAAACTTAAAGAACCCGAACCAACCGAACTCCAAGTAATATAAATTCATATAAATTCATATTATAAATTCCCAGAATTATACACAGTCAAGGTACCACTCACAGGGAACCCCCAAAAGGGAAGAAGGAAGGGAAAGGAAAAAGGAAAAAGGGACAAAGAGGGTAAGGGCTTTCTCTCCTGGTGGAAATGCATTTGTTTGCTGTCCGAACCCCTGCGCTGGAATGCTCAGTCTGAGACCCCAAATGGAATGAGAATGAAGATTCCTCCAAGATCAAAGGTGCCAGCTTAGGAAGCTCTATGTGTGCATGGAGTGGCGAGAGTGGCTCACCAATTGCACAGGAGTGATGGAAGGTAGGGGCTTTCTTTCCTGAGTGGAAATGTATTTGTTTGGTGCCAGAACCCCTGCGCTGGAATTGTCAGTCTGAGCCCCAAAATGGGTGGAACCCAAGTTGTGAGAAACAGAGTCTCGAGACATAATTAATTTTCAAATTGTAATTTATTATATGGTAGAAACAAACAGCGCTGGGTGTACAGACAGGAAAATCTCTAGAGTCTGTCACACCTGATACAGGGTACGAGTCCTGTTTTTATTTCAAACATCCCATATATATACATTATATCGCCTGCATATACATTTACATCGCTATTCTGTGTATTCACCATATGTTTATTTTCACAGCTTAGACTAATTGGTTATCTCTACGTTAAGTTATAAATTCATATGTCCTTCAAAATAAGGTGCCATCATGCTGTTTGACCTGATCTGGTTCGGACATAATTCTTGGCTAGGAGAACAGGGAAGATGATGGTCTGTTTTATGTCTTTAAGGGGGTGCAATTAAGTTTTACAATCCGTTTGTTTTCCTTCCCTCCTGGGTTACATTCACCCATTTGACACGAATTATAACCTGTATTTATTACACAAGCGATAGGACAAGAGGACATGGCCTCAAGCTGTGCCAGGGGAGGTTTAGGTTAGACATTAGGAGGAATTTCTTTGCTGAAAAGGTTATTTGACATTGGAATAGACTGCTTAGGGAGGTGGTGGAGTCACCATCCCCGAAGGTGTTTAGGGAAAGGGATGTGGCACTTAGTGCCATGGTCTCATTGACGTGATGGTGTTTGGTCACAGGTTGGATTTGAGGGGTCTCCAAGGTGGCCCTGAGATGGCTCAGTTGGCCAGAGCGTGGTGCTGACAACACCAAGGTTGGGGCTTTGATCCCCGTATGGGCCATTCCCTTAAGAGTTCAACTCATTTAAGAGTTGGACTCGATGATCCTTTTGGGTCCCTTCCAACTGAGCACTTTGGGGGGAAGGGGGCGATTCCCGCCCTGTGATTCCCTGGATTTCAGCCGGTGGTGTGGCGGAGGGGTGAGCGCTGCGCATGCGCTTGGCGCTCCCGCTGCGGCGGCTGTGCCGGCGGGCGGGCCGGCGCCGCTGGCGGCGCGAGGTGCAGCGCGGGGCCGCCATGGGCGCGCGGGCGCTGTGGGCGCTGCTGGCGGCGCTGAGGGCGGGCTGGTGCCTCCTGCCGCAGAGCGGCTACCTGCACCCCGACGAGTTCTTCCAGGCGCCCGAGGTCATGGCAGGTAAGGGCGCGGATAAGGTGGGGGGAACCCCGGGGCGCGCTGCCTCACACAGCCCCGCGGATGCGGCAGATGCGGAGCCCCGCGCACAGGCGGGTGTTCCCGAGGGATCCCCGGAGCCGCCGGCTCGTTCTCTCGCTCTGTCCCGCAAGCCGGGCAGGAGCGGGTCCGCACGCCTGGGTGGGCGGTAGATTCCTGCTCTGTGCTGTCCACAGCGAGTGGTGCCCGCACCCGCTTTACCCCGACGGGCTGCTTTTTTTTGATTCTCTGCAAAAATGAACGGTACACTCCTAAAACTGGCAAGGTTGGCACCAAAGTCTCAAAATTTGTCTAGGAGCTGCTCTGCATTGTGATGTCTCTTACAGCAAGTAGTATCCCTACTGCTGAATTATTGAATAAAATGTATTATGTATTGTATGTATTTTTCTTTTTCTCTTCCTTTATAGGAGATATTTTAAATCTACAGGTCTTTTATCCTTGGGAGTTCCTTTCAAGCTTTCCTTGCAGAACAGTTGTTTTCCCGTTAATGACATCAGGAGTTACTTACTGGGCAATCAAGTCTTTGCAGCAGTTGGACATATGCTCAAGTTGCATCAACAGCTACACTCTCCTTGTATCACCTCGCCTTCTCTTTACAATCTTTTCTTTCATACTTGACTATAGCGTATATCGATTAGCCCCTTTCTGGGAAGCAGATCTGTGGAAAGCGCTGGTACTTCTTGCTGGATCCTATGTCACTCTGGTGTTTTATACAAGAACATTTACCAACACGCTCGAAGGACTTCTCTTTGCTCTTCTCATGGTACTGGTTTCCTCAAGAAAGTCCAATGGCAGCTCAGTGGAGCCTACAAGCAGCCCTCTCATAGGTGTTATAACAACTGCTGGGTTTTTCAACAGGCCAACCTTTCTGGCATTTGCCCTAATGCCCCTGCTTTACTGGGCAGGTTTAATTGTTGATTCTCAAAGGAGCATTAAAACTGTCATAAACCACTTTTTGAAGCTCATACTATGTGCATGTTTCACTGCCATTGTTTTCATAACAGCTGACACCTTTTATTTTACCTCTGTGAGCTTAGATAACCTTTACAGCATTGACAAGGGCAGCCTATTTGATGTAATAGCTCAATTACATGAGAAAATGGTAGTAACCCCCTTCAACTTTCTCAGCTATAATCTTAATCCTCATAATCTTGCACTGCATGGAAGTCACCCACGAGTTACACATTTTACAGTCAATGGAATTATGCTCTTTGGGATCTTACATGTTCTGGCCATTGGTGCTGGTTTTAAAATGTTAAAGAAATATGTCCATCAACTAATACAGGTCAAATCATGTTACCGTGGGCTTCCTGGGCTATTGGTGCATTCCGAGGGCAATCCAACATTACTGCTGTTTTATTTTGTTCCTTTGGCATTTCTCTCCCTATTCAGTCACCAGGAGCCTCGGTTCCTCATTCCCCTCATCTTGCCATTGGTCCTGTTCAGTGCATCACAGGGCAGAGCTGTGAAGTGGAAACACCTCATCATTATTTTCAATCTTCTCGGGGCATTCCTGTTTGGGTGCCTACACCAGGGAGGGCTGATACCCTGTTTGTTTCACTTGGAGCAGCTCATCCATTCTCCAGCACCTTCAAACCATCCAAGGCACTATACTCTACTCTTTGCTCACACCTACATGCCTCCAAGGTTTCTGCTTAATATCAAGAAGACAGACGTGCACGTACAAGTCATTGATATAGCTGGGTCTGGAGAAGAAACCCTCTGCCAGACAGTAGAGCAGCAAGCAAGCAATTTTACCTGCAGCGACTGTCACATTTTTGTCATAATCCCTGGAACAGTCAGAGCCACAATTGCAAAACGTGGTGTCTCATTCAAGAACGAGACTGTGATATTTCCACACTTATCAATGGAAGACCCACCACAAATGTCCATCCTATCCAGTGGAAATTGGAGAAGTCAGTTAGGACTATACATCCTTCAGCTAGACAGAGATCAGCACAGATTTTAGGAGAACGATACTTTAGTTTTTCACTTCATTTGGACATGGTCTGAAGGTGCTGTGAGACCTTCCTCTTCACAGGCCCACCTTCAATGGAAGCAGTGGCACTGGGAGCTCTCCTGAGTCTCTTTATTTGTCATGTTCTTATGCTCACCAGTATAGCCAGTTCTGGATAGAATCTGCTTAGAATTTGAGTTTTTTAGCCCTGTAGTGTTTCATATGAACTTCTGTAATTTTCTTGATGGGAGAGGATAAAATCAGAGCCCACCAAAACTGTGATTCAAGCTTAGCAGTCTCCATGTGAGATTTATTTTTGGAAGTTTTTATAATCTCTGACAGAGTTTGTAGACTGTGGGGTGTTTACTTATAATAGGCATTAAATCAGCTGTTGGAGAGAGGTTACAAGGCTGGACAGAAGCTGGTCTGATTAAGTAAGATTTTATTTTATGTACTTAAAAATTCATTAGACCAGACTGCAGTCACAGTACAGGCACCAGCACTGTAACCACTTGGGTGGTTCTGCCTTGAAAAATCCCCAGCACTAAATGAGACAGAATCTCATTTAGAACGTGGAGGATGCTTCAGCCTAAGTACTTGTGCTAAATCCTAAAATCCAAGCTTTGTCTGTTTAACCTTCCTTGCCACAGTTCCATCCTCGTGGATGTGTTCCACACGCACTGCACCCAGAGCTCGAGGAGACTCTTCTGTGATGGCCTTGAAGCCACTCGGTGTTCTGCTGCTGCAGCCAGGGCACTCCTGCCCTCGCACGTTCCCGGCACTGTTCTCGCAGCTGTCGCTGTTCTGTCGCGACTGTGACTCGGGCAGAACGCATGGCAGGCCCTGCGGGGAGTTGGATCGAGGAGCTGCGCAGGCAGAAAGCGTGTAACTCGGAGGGATTTGATCCTTCGTGCCATTGCAGCAGATGGATCTCTGAACAGGCTCACGGCAAGGTCAGAGATGCACCAGTTCTGCTGCTGGGGAGCGGGGGAGGACCCGAGGGAGGAGCCGCATCCCCTGCACCCCCTCCCCTTGCTTAACTGCTCCCCATTAAATCAGCTTAGTGGGAATGACAGATCACATCCTGACTCTCAACTGGAGAGCAGGCTCATTTTAAACTGGGATACAAATAACTGGGCTTCAGCTGAGAACAACGTGTGTGCATAATAGCACAGCACAACTAACAATCTTTGGTTTTGCCTACGTGAACTTCTGGATCCAAAACATCTTGACATGGAGGGAGATACTCATTTGGCACATGCATTGTAGGTCAAACCTCTCTCTATGGAACGAATCTGACATTTGAATTATTTCTGCTCACAAAGGTGGTAATGCTTTTGGCAGTTCTGCACCCACACAGCTTTACATAAGGTCTTATGAGCCAGGTTTTCAATAGAGATGAGGATAATATAAGTTGATGCCAGGCTTTAAAGGGATGCTAGGAAAAATGCATGTGTGAAGGATTTGCCTGTATTTTCCAAACTATAGGTATGACCTAGATTTTTAGGGAACATAGCTCTTGCTCTCTTGTAAAGCATTGTGTATTTTCTCCCATTTGTTCGTCCACCTCCATCACTCTCCAGACATGCCTGTAATTAAAGGTGGGTGTATGGGGGGAGGCAGGGGGAGAAGGGGTGCATGTATGTTTGTACTGATGACTCACAAAGTAGTGGAAATGGTTTTGAAAGTATTGTGACACCAAGTGCATTTTTCGCGTTAATTTCCTTTTTGCTTTCTGGGAGAACAGCCATCTGCCACAGCTTGTACTTACTGTTTTCAGCTTTCTTAAACAGCTTAAATCTTGAAAATTACTTTTACAGAATTTATGAACGCTGGCAATCTGAGGGGTAGATCTTGAAACTCTTCATGGATGTAATGGAGCACCATTTCCATGGCACAGTGACTACCCTATAGCTGCACAGGTAACCTGTGACTGAACCAGAAGAGAACCTGAAGTACAAGGGATAACTCAGACTGACAATACACTGTTTTTGTCTCACCAGCCAGGCCTTTGTAATTTACATCACAGATGCAATCTCTCCATCCATGCACACCTGAGTCTTTGCTGGTGGGAGGTTTAATTTTACCAGCAATACTGGAAACTGTATCTCAGGTAATGTACAAGGTTCTTGTCACCTGGGGTGATACAAGGAATGGAAATGATCCTTCACAGTTAACTGAGCCTCAAGTCAGCCAGACCATGCTCTGAAGGAAGGTTAACTGCTTTAGTCTCATAGATGCTGTCATATACAGCATCTTAAGCAAACCAGCCCAGTGCATCATGTATGATGGGTGCATCCTTTTCCATATTTATATTTAGGACAGCTCTACTGGTCATTTTTTCCCTGTAAACCTTTCTTGCTACCAGACTTGAGGTGTGCTTTTAGGCTAGCTAGTGAATCTCTTTTACCTTCCTCTAAGATGGGCATTATCCTATTCATCATCATCGACATTTAAAAGCCCCTTTTGTATCAAAATGTAACAGTTGTAGAGTATTACTGCTGTATGGACAAACATTGTTACAGCCACTCCCATGGGAATCGTGGTTTTATTTCAAGTTTCTTATGCAGCACTTAAAGTGACAATCCTGACAGCGTTCTGGATGATGCTTAGTGAGTGTCTGCTTGTTCCTGAGAACTGTGGAACACGTAAAACGGCTTTGAAATGAAAACCCATCACACCGATGAGCAGCAATAGCTTCATGTGTCCATGCGATGTGGGACGCGCCGTCGGGTCTGCAGCTCGCCGTCCGCCGCCCGGGGGTCCGCAGTAGCCACCGGGGCTCCTCACCCGCCGGCTTCAGCCCGCTCCGTGTTCCGGTGCTGTCGCTCCCGTCCCCTCGCCGGCGGTGCCGCCTCTCCCCACTCGGCGCGTTGCTCAGGGCGCTGCTCCAGGGCGGCCGCCGCGGCCCGGTCCGCGCGGCCACGGCCAGCCCCGCTGGCGGGCGCCGTCCTTGAGCTCCCCGAGGAAGGTGTCGCGCAGGCGGAACAAGCACGGGCCCAGGTGCTGCTGCCCGCGGGTGATGGCGGCGGCGGCGGCGCGGGCGGCGGCGCGGATGGGCCGCGACTCCGAGAGCCGCTCCACGAGCCGCGGGCTCGACAGCAGCAGCAGCAGCGCGCGCCGCAGCGACATGACCGCCACTCTCGCGGGACCCGCCGCGCCGGCCGCTCCCTCAACGCGTGGAGTCCCCCGCCGTTCTCGCGAGAGCTGCCTCCACCCCCTGCGGCCGCGCGGGCCGCCACGCCATTGGCTGCGCGAGGGGCGCGTGCGCGTGGGGCGGGAAGGTGCTGAGGGGCGGCCGGGCCGGGCCGGGCCGGGCTGGGCAGCGCCAGGAGGGGTTGGTGCGCCCTCGGTCCGTCCTGGGCCGGGGCAGACCGGGTCGGGCTGTGCCAGGCCGGGCAGCGCCGCCATGAGCTCCGGCGGGACGCTGAGCATCCTCCGCAGCGACTCGTACGCCGAGCTCAGCCAGTACCGCGACCAGCACTTCCGGGTGAGCCTCGGCCGGGGGTGGGCGCCGCGCGGTCCGTCCCACCCGGGCCGGGCTGTGCCGGGGGTTAACGCGGTATCCTTGCGGCCCAGGGGACGCGCGACGACCAGGAGCGGCTGCTGAGGAAGAGCTGCACGCTGTACGTGGGGAACCTGTCCTTCTACACCACCGAGGAGCAGATCCACGAGCTCTTCGGCAAGAGCGGCGACATCAAGAAGGTCATCATGGGGCTGGACAAAGTGAAGAAAACCGCCTGCGGCTTCTGCTTCGTGGAGTATCCTTTTGCGGGCCGGCAGGAGCGGTCAGGGCGCGGGTGAACTGCTCTACGCTGCTGGCTCTGGGTCACGGCAGTTTTCCCAGGATAAAAGTAATCGTTTGCTAAAGCGTCTGTGAGGGACGCAGGTGCGAGAGGGGTCTGCTGGGTTCGCGGTTGGACTCGATGATCTTACGGGTCTTTTCCAACCGTGATTCTGTGAATGGAACACAAACGGCATGTCGAGCAGGGGTAACAGATTGCTTTCGCTGTGACACTTTAACCCCGATGCTTTTTAGGTATTTGACCTCTACAGTAAATTCATATTTTCCATTCCAAGTAAAAAGGTGTTTCTTTTTGTACAAGCTAAGTATTAATTTTCTGCTGTTATTTGACATCCCTGTTGTGTAGTCTCTTACATGAGAGTCTCTGAAGATCATTCTGTAACTGGTTCCAGTGAGCTCCCCAGAATGGTGGAATGTTGCAGCATGAATGGGGCCTCCCTGGGGCTTCTCACTCTTTAGCAATAGAGCTTTGTGCTTTTAAGGGTGAGCGTGGTTGGCAAACTTAATCCAGTATATGCATTTTTAGTGCTTGAATTTGTGCACATTGCCCACTTTCACTAACAGTTTTCCTCAGCTCACATAGCTTCATAAAAGCTTTTCCTTTTGAAAGTAACTGAGCAGGAACCTGTTTCAAGCAAAGACTTGGTTTTGTAGCCCATTTGATACTAGGTTTTTTCCAGGTGTTGAAAACAGAAGTCCATTTTTTTCCCTTAACCTATTCCTAAGGTATTATGCAAGAGGAGATGCTGAAAATGCAATGCGATACATCAATGGAACCAGACTTGATGACAGGATCATAAGGACCGACTGGGATGCAGGATTTAAGGAGGGTAGGCAGTATGGCCGTGGAAGATCAGGAGGGCAGGTAGGTTGTTGTTCAGCCTGGGCTTTAAGGTGACTTTGCCAAATTTCTTGCTTTTGAACGGACACACTCAGAACAATTTCAGAAACAGCAACTTAGGAGTCGTTGTTTAAGATAACACTGTGCCTTAGTCTGTAAGACACCTGACCCATGGCACTGTTACCTACTAAGAGCAGATAACTTTTTCATGTGTTTCACTAAAAGTTCTTGCAGAAACAACTCTTGGCTGCTTGGGGAGATAATGCTTATAAGTAAGCCCTGAAACTATAAGGCTATCAAGAGCACACAGGACAGCAGTTGTTCTACCCAAAGTGGAGAAGGTGGCAGTGGCTTTTACTGCTGGAGCGTGAGGCTGGCCATCCTTACTTGGGCTGCCTCGATTGAGGAGTCCCTGGGATGCTGTTGAAAAGGAAGTTGTTTATGTTTATGTTGTTCTGGGCTTCTGCATGATTCACTTTGCCTTCAGTTTTGTCGGTCAACTCTGTATGGCCACTTATATGTTGTGAGTTCACTGTGACTATATTCTGATGATGTAAGAATTTTTGAGAAATTGTTTTTCTTTGTCTTTCCTGGACTCCCCTTTTTCCCTCCTTTGTAAGGTCCGAGATGAGTATCGACAGGACTATGATGCTGGAAGAGGTGGCTATGGCAAAATTGTTCAGTGTCAGTGACTCGTCAGTCTCACAGGAGAACCAAATCTGCACTGTAAATGTCACCAGACACCGAGTAGGTCTGTTGCACACAAATTTATGTCACTAGAAATTCACAGGAACTCCTCTCCATTATTTCTGTGAGCACATCCTGTGTTCAATACCTCTTCTGTTTTAATGCCAGGATCCAAAGCGTTGCAGAGGACCTGAAAACAAGGTTTTAAGCAATAGAATGTCTGAGGCTTCAGTCTCTAAATGCTGCTGTAACTTACTAAAAGGAACAAAGATTTAATGTAATGGTGCTTTTTTTTCACTGGCAAACTTGATTATTCTACCACTGCGTTTTGTTTACATTGGTATCAGGGTGGGGAGCAGTGATAAAGATGATTGGTGGGTGTTTCAGAGATGAAAAAGGAAGTGGAATTTCTAGGGAAATTTTCCTGTTTCTGGGGAACACTTAAAGCTGCAGATTTTCTGGGGTTACTGGGTTAGTATCCTTTTTCACTGATGCTGTTACTGGAACACTTACACAGCCATAATAAAACAATCAAATTGCTGAGCCCAGGAATCATGAAGTGAGAAGCAACCTAGCAGGACACAGACCCCTGCAGTCTTCTATTAAGTTTAATGTGCCTACAAGGGTAACATGAAGCCAAGCTGTAGAGTTACTCCCAAAAATAGGATGTTAGAGGAACTGTGTGTGTAACAAGAAAATTCGCTCCCCAAGTGCATTTTGAGAAACTTGATTTCAGACAAAGGTGAAAACAGAAATGCACTTAGGGAGGAGCCTTACTACTGAGTCTCTCCTTTCTACTGAGCCTTACTTTCTACTAAGAATGGTAAAAGGATTGCAAAGATTGGTTTGTTTTGGTTTTTTCTCTTTCCCCCGTATTCATATTGCTGGTTTATATGATGGGATTTTGAGGTACTCCAGACATAGGAATAATTGTGTACCCAGTGTCTGTGAAATTGACCCTCTGAAATGAAATGGCTTAAAAGGAACTGTTACAGAGCTTTGTAATTTTTTATGGACTTTGGAGTTCCTTGGAAATGGCAGTTCATAAAATTAATCCAAATACCTCGTTGTCCATAACTCCTTAGAAACCTTCAACGTACCGGGTTATGTAAAAGTTGATATTTACTCACTGAAGATACTGTTGGAAATCTCAGTGTGTTTCTTGTGTACAGTTAGTCACAGATGTAAATTGGAAATACAGTGAGATAGAACAACTGCTTACTTAGGAAGTGTGGATTTGACTGGGCTTTGAGGTTTTTTGGCAGGTAGAGTAAAACTAAATTTTTGGGATGGCTTGGTGCTGGTTTGCAAACAAGAGTTGGAACAAGGTTGCCTTTTCCAATCTAGTACATTTGATGATTAGTTTACAGCCTGTAATCTGCTCAGACACTGCTGACCTTTATTTTTCATTGTATCAATTTTGTATGAAACATGTGTTACCAAAAACTCAAAAGTTTCTTTCAAATAAAACTGTAACATTAAAATGGTTTGTTACTTTTTTTCTTGTAACGGAATCACTGAGAGAAAGGAGCTGTATTCAGACTTGTGCCTTTATCCTTTGTTCTAGTGTCTTTTAAGATGGAGAGAATGAATATTCCTTCCCTTGACTGGATTTTCGGTCTTGTTCACTTCTTACTTGGATGCTGAAAAATGTTTGGTTAATGTTCTTCATTCTGGTTTGGATTTTTTTGGATTATAGAATAGAAATTAAAATATTTGCTGATATTGAAGTTAATGTAAAAGTCTTTAGTGTGTAACAAGTAATTTTCAAGGTGTACTTTCTTACAAAAACGATATTTAAAATTATTTTTTATTGTAAGTGCTGCAGAACAGTCATTCCCATATGAAATGGAAGTGGTAGGAAGATTTTCCTTCACGGCAGTCACTGTCTTTTGCTGCATATGTGCAGTGTCTATGGAAAGATTATTTTTTAAAGTGAGGTTTTCTGTTTTGAGAGATTTCAATCAAAATGGGATTTAAAAGCACATGATGTGTCATGTGAACTCTTAGACTCTCAAAAGCGCATATAAGGGAAACTGATTGAACAGGGTTTGATTTTTGCCTTCCCTGACTGAAATCGCATCTGTCTCTGATGAAGTTAGAGCTTCACAAAAGAAACTGAAAATCAAGTCTTTAAAACTTGACGGGGGGCTTCTTCAGCTTCCCTACACACTGGTGCATTGGGATTAGGTTTTCTTGGAGGGACAGAATCTCCCATGATTTTTTGACAGGCTAGTTCATTACGTAGACTTTTATGGAAATTCAAGCTCTGTGTTAGCTTTTTAGTAAGTACTTATTCATCATAATTAGCTAGTTTTATGGAATTGTGTCCATAAAGAAAAGCAACAGCTAAGAATATAAGTGGAAGCTTAGACATGCCTTGATGGAATGGAGGCTGCTAGAAATTAAGGCAGCAGGAGCTTCAGTCCTCCCCTCAAACTGGTGCAGGCTCACGGTGGGGTGATTTATGTGTCTCTCTTAGGCAGTAATAGCTGCAAATAAGGGTTATATTCACACCATTTGAGTTTTGGTATTATAGGGTAAAATCAGTAGAGTAAAAGTTGGAGCATTAAAACCCTTTGTTTTCAATGACTGACAAAATAATCCCCATTACCAGAGTATCACTGCAGGCTTGTTCCAAAGTGGTCTATATGTTAGTCAGGTTCTTACTGTCCTGTGCAGCAGGCAAGTTCCTGCTCAGATTGGTACCAGCACAACCACCGTTGGTGTTAATGGTCCTTTCTACGCAGATAATTCTGAAAAAAATTTTTGGCTAATATGCAAAACCTCATCTTCAATATTTTGTCAGATTAGGCTTCTTGTGAAGGTGAAAATTGATAAAAACTACTAAAATCTACATGGTTTGTACATAGTTTCATCTCTAGATAAAAGACAATCCTACTCAAAGGAATGCAGTCCACAGCTCCTAAACTGCTATCCATTTGAGTTTCTCTGAAGCACAAATTGTACCTTATGCTAGAGCTTGTAAGTGAAGATGAATTAGGGTGGGCATTTTTCTGTACAGTCTCTGGAATTTCTGCTCCTCGCTCAGTGTATTTGGCCCTTTCAGGTAAGCGTAGGGCCTAATGTCACTGCAGGGGGAGTACCAAAGAATCAGTGAAGACTGTAGAGGGAAGTGTCCTGGGCTTCAAAACGCTATGTTTGGGAAGTAATGGCCAGATTAATTAATTGTCTGCTTTCATACGTCTGATGCCTGTTCCTGTCTAAACAAACTCTTGCACCAGGGCTTGGATATACTCGGAGCTGCTCTGTAATGCACACAACTCATCTCTCTCCCTTTTGGGATAACTAGATGGTGTAAGTTTCTCATGACTTGGGGAAGGAGGTCTCTCTGCCCTTGTCTGTCTAAGATCAGATGTTATGTCCATCACTGCTTCATCTCTTTCTCTCTCCCATTAGGCAGAGGAAGGTTATTCCAGGTGACTGTGTTTGTATCCCAAGGTTTCAGCTATGGTGTGAACAGAAAGCAGACCTTGCTCCCTTCTCAAACACATGTGCTCTGTTCAGACTGGATGAGAAACCATAATAAAGGAAAGGGATAGTTTCTTTCTGGGGTTATCTACCCAATTTTTTAAGAATTACTTTATGATTTGTCTGCTGACATAAAAGGCTTCCAGCATAAAGCTCTAAAGGCTCATTTTCAGACCCTAAACTGATTGAACTATGGGACTTAAGAGAGCTTACCCTCTTCCACTTCCAGACACAGCCATCAGCACTGGACAAGGGACACTCTGGAAGTTTAAGTTAAGCAAATTAGTCATGATGATTTCTATTCCAGAGGCCTGCACAGCCCGTAGGGAATACGTACACACAGAGCTAGGACTGCACTGCAGGCAGCTGGAGTTCCCAGTAGAGTGTTCCATTATAGACTTAACTATCAATTTTGAAAAAGGGAATTTGAGAGAAAAATAGATCACAAAAGTATTTCATTATCAACTGCATCCTTATAAATTACTCTTAAGCTTGGCCCAGAGGAGTCTTCAGCAGGTCTTACTTTCATAACACTTCACATTTACATTTTTCTTCTATAGCATGTTGTGAATCAGGATTGAGCAGAGTCTTCTATGTTTCACTCTACTTTCTGGGAAAATTATCTAGGTCTGAAGAACCCACAAAATTACAGTATTTGTAAGTGAAGACTATATAACTTCATCCAATGTCTGCACCACAAAGGTAGACAGTATATTATACCCCTGTCAGTAGAAGACAGTTGCATGAGAAGAAAGTTTGCTGACCTTGAGAAACTACTTTCTGAAAGGAGGAGAGATGAACTCTTGTGTTAGGGTTCCACAGTTTATGAGAATCATCTTCCTGTC